ACTTTATATGGGATGCCGCCACAGCGTGGCTTGACAAACAGTGTGTTGGTCCAAGGCTGGGATCCGAACCTGTGAACCTCTGGCCACCGCAGTAGAGCTCGAGAACTTAACAGCTAGGCCACCAGGCTAGCCCCGAGACTAATTTTAACATAATAGTTTTTTTTTTTTTATCATTTTGAAAATAATGCATTCATGCTATAGACAATTGAAAAAATATAGAAAAGTTAAAAAACAGAAAGCAAAAATAACCTGTAAAGCCATCACTGAGAGATAACCATAGTTAATATTTTATTCTATTTCTTTCTGATGTTTTCTCAAGGAATGTGCCTAGCACAGTGCAACTCACTTTATGATCATCCAGTGAGTTTGTTTTCACTATTGCTCATTACAACCTGTAATGCAGAGCTTCAATTTAAATTCATCAGGCCTTTTTCTTCACGTCTTTCATCATTGTATTCAATAAAACTAGCAAAATGTAGAAATTTATGGCCAAATGAATTTGTTTATAAAACTGGAAATAATTTATTTACCATTAATAATAATATTATTATGGGAATGTATTTCCCTTGTATGTACTTTCATTAAATGCAGCCTAAAATTCCACATCTCAATTTAAAATAAAGCAGCTACAAATTCGGTGAGATTTGAGGATATTTTCAACTCAAGGAAGCAAACCAAACTTTAAAACATAAGTCTTCATTTAAAACTTCTAACTTTTGATTAATGACTCTTTAGGGTCAAATTCTCAGACAAAACATACTGAAAACTTCGTATATTTTTAGCTTTCTATCTCTATACAGATTTCCTGCTTTGATTTGCATACTCCCACATGAAAAAGACAAAGGAGATTTATATGGTGCATGGCTCTCCTACACCAGGCCACAGAGTCTAACGATTGTGAACCAATGCCTCCTCCCTTCAAGGCTGTGCCTATCACCCCTTATATGTCTCCTTTACCCCACCCAGTCAATACTTTCCATCTAGGCTGTTTCGCTGTTGGAAGAAGTCATTTTTTGATGGGTATTTTCCCAGAATGAAGGAAAGCTCCTGGTTGGTAGGACACAGCCCCCAAACTCATCCCCCTGATGATATGGTCAGGGCTTGCTGTTTGTCTTGTTAGGGGAAGTCTGGAGAAGGCATTACTCCAGAGCATATAACTTACTTCTGATACACCACTGAAGGGTGCAGGTTGACCAGATGTCTGCACTTACCCCACCCAACCTGGGCTCCCAGTACCTCTGCTCCCCTTTCCTGCTGTAGCCAACACTGTCTGGTGAGCTTCCTTTGGCCTCATCCTGAATGGATATGGATATAGATAAATATAGATATAGATATAGCTATAGATAAATATATAGATAGATATAGATATATAGATAGAGATATAGATAGGTAGATAGAGGTATATAGATCTGTCTACCTATGTATCTATCATCTATCTATCTACCTACCTACCTACCTACCTATCTAAATGTTTAGTGACTTGTGTTTAACCAATGGAATATGGCAAAAGTGATGGGTTGTCTCTGATGGAGCGGGTGGCCTGGCCAGGATACGAGGGCAGCCTCTGGCTAACTCAGCAAGGAGCCAAGCATCTCAGTCCAACATCCTCCAGCAACTGAATTCTACTGACACTATGTGAGTGAGCTTGGAAGCGGACCCTTCCCCGGTGCAGTGCTGGTTGGGACCACGGACTCTGGGCTGAAACCTTGATTCAGTGTGAGCGACTGTGGGATAGATAACTCCTGACCCACAGGAACTGTGAGACAATGTGTGTTGTTTTAAGCCCCTAAGTTTTGGAGTATTTGCTTCTCAGCAATAGATCACGAACATAGAGACAAAAGCTCTCTCTCTCTTTCTCTCCCAGGCTTTAGGTTTTAGTGCCCGAGTTAATAATTGAACGAATGAGTTTCCATCACTGTGGGAAGGGAGATGAAAAGGCAGCATTTAAAGAAGAAACAAATAAGGGAGGTATAATTAAAGACAATTGTTACCATCTCTACTGGCATTGTCACAGCAAATGAATATCCTCACGTTTTTGTTAATAGTGCTGATATAACAACACTTCTGATCACTAAGGCTCTATCTCACTTAACATCTAATGATTCCAAGGAATTTATCAGTGCAATAAAATGTTATTTATTCACAAGGAATTGCTTCACAACAGATATGACATGGTGCATAGTAGTAGTTTTCAGATTCAGCTACATATTAACATTACCAGGAAGCTTAAAAAAAATACAGCTATCTGGGCTGCATCTCTAACAAAATGACATCTTTAGTTTTTTCTTTTTAAAGCTCCCTCCAGATGAGGCACAGACAAGGTTGAGAACCACCCGCACATGTGTCACCCGGACTTGAGGTGCTAGAGAGAGAACAGCGAGGTCAGGAACCTCAAAAATGACCTCAAGAGGCTGCATTCAGTAAGCACTTGACTATGGCGAGGGTGTGTAGTCATTATCCCGCCTAAGTAACACAACACCTGCAAAGAGTATCCTAAAATACAGAATATAAACAGGTTATTACTGCCCCCATTTTACAGATGAGGAAACTGAGGCTTAAAGAAACAAAGTAAATTTTCAAGTGATGGAGTCAGGGCTTACACTCAAGTCTCATTCAGAGCCTGTGTGGTCAGCCAGTGCATCAGTGTTTCCTGCTTCCCAGACAACCACAAAACCTCCGTGGCCTTCAGCAGTGGCATTTGTTTCCTGCCGCTGCACTTGTGGTCAGCTAGACCTCAGCTGACCCAGGCTGGATGGTCTGGGGCCTGAGGTGGTGCAGCTCTACCCATGTGTCTCCCATCCTCCATGGTCGGGTGGTACAACCTGTCATCTTTCACAGCAGCAGCGGGAGAACAAGAGACGAAACCTCATCACAAGCCTAGGCTCAAGTCACAGCTGGGAACACCCAGGGGAGGAGAGAAATCCCGAGGTCAGGCCTGACCTCCATGGGGTGGGAAGTGAACCCCTTCAGGGTGGTGATGGCAGGCTGAATACTTGGCAAATAATAATCTACTCCTCCCGTAAGTTCCCTTAGTGACAATTTCTTTCCCACATTTTTCCACCTCAGATTCAACATCTTTGTATAATTTAGTGTTATTATGAGTTCTCTCCAAGCCTGAGGTTTGCTAAGAGTCTTTATCAGTGAAATAACTGAGTTGCCATGTTTGCTCAAATTGGTGGATCTGCACTTAAATATCCAGTTATCTTTATCTCTAAGATGTTGACACACGGCAATAGCCAGCAAGCATGAGTGACAGGGACGCTCCCCAGGAAACCCTGACCTCCTCCCACACCGAGAGTCCTTGTTAGAACAGAGCGGTCAATACATGATGAGGGGTCATCCCAGCAGAAACAGGAAAATTGACTTGTGGCCATGGATTAACTACTTTGGAAATGTCCAACTAAATTGGATTATTCTGAAAGCACGATACTAACACTAAGGATAAAACTTTGCCCTTTCTTAGCCAATGAGCACTTTCCCTCTGACAGGAGTAGAATTATTTGATTAATTATTCTGGTCAGCTCAGGCCAGGGTTAAATAAAAAAGCTTTCAGCACACAGATTTGTATCTGATTTGTTAAAATCAACAGCAGCAACAATAGCAAACTGAAGTTCCTGGAATACATTATTGTAATTGGAAGTGTCTAAAACACAGTCTCCCCAGTGTGCACACACACCATCCATCCATCCATCCATCCATCCATCCACCCAATGAGCAATAGGATATCAACTTCTAGGATAGGATGGTGGGATGAATCTAGATTTTCACATTATTTTACTTCAATGGGTGGTGGTAAACAAATCTTTTTCTCACTCGTTAAACCTAAAGGGACATCTCATTTATATGAAATTGTCTAAAGTGCAAAGGATACCTACCTTGTGAACTTTAAATCGTACCTCACAGAGGTTATAGATTTTTTCTGCTCGTACCCAGTCTAATGTGCTCACCTGCAAGAAATATAAAACATATACATAAAACAATCATTCTCATACACACACACACACAAGGTAACTATGTGAGATGACGGATGTGGTAGTTAACTTGATAGTGGGAGTCATTTTACAATGTGTAAGTACATCAAATCATCACGTTGTACACTTTACATATGTTACAATTTTATTTGTCAATTATACCTCAATAAAGCTGGAATTTTTAAAAAATATACACGAAAAGAAACATATTACTTTTAGTTGGAGAATTTAAAAATTTACAAAAATGGAGTGATTCAATGTGAGCTGTGAGGACAGCTGGAACGCCAAACCACATGCTGCTGAGGACGCTGATGAGCAATCCATGCTCACCTCTGTTGGTGTGTGGGATGAATATATTTAGATACATTATTGTTACAAGAACTTGGGATGTAGGAACTCATCTATTATACACAATTGGGCATGATTTTAGGAATTCATTTTGGATTCCTGTTACATTAAATTAAGGACTAATTTTAGGTTAAATTTAGAGAATTTAAGAGGGTAATGAGTTTGCATGTGAAACTGATATATTTGCTGGAGTGTGACCCTGGGACAAAAACCTTGTGTTTATAGTCCTGCTCTTTAGGAATAAACCCACTAGTCAACTCTATTTCAGAAATGAACAGAAAATTTATTAGCTTATCAATTCAATTGAACATGTTTTTGATTGGTCTGATATTATAGTTCACCACTATTTTAACAACAATAATGATCAAAATCATCCAACTTTTTTTTTTTTTTTGGTGAGGAAGACTGGCCCTGAGCTAACATCTGTTGCCAATCTTCCTCCTTTTGCTTGAGGAAGATTGTCTCTGGGCTAACATCCATGCCCATCTTCCTCTATTTTGTATATGGGATGCTGCCACAGCATGGCTTGAATGAGCAGTGTATAGGTCCGAGCCTGGGATCTGAACCAGTGAACCCCGGCTGCCAAAGCAGAGTGCAGGAACATAACCACTACGCCATGGGGCCGGCCCCCAAAATTATCCAACTTTTGAACGATGTTTTAAGGTTTACAATTCATGTTCACATATATGATCTCTAAATCAAAATATTTCATGTAGAAAAATCTGAAATAGCAGTGTAACAAATTCGGACTTTTTGTTGTTTGCCTTGCACTTACTTTTCAACTATTAAAAATAAAAATAAAAAATAAATAAGAAAATCCAATGTTCACTGTACTGTGTCTTTGAAATACTGAAATGACCACGTATTTAGTCAATTGGTGACCTTCTGGTAACCATGCCACCAAATAAAATACCCAAGACAGTCACTTTAAAGCCACCACAATCAGAATGCTTCACCAAATAGTCAGCTAATGATGTGAAAATTACACTAATAACTTGCCATTTAATGTTTAATGCTCCAGAGTTAACTCACTGCTACTGTGATTTATAAGATAAAAAATAGGGGCCAGGTGGTGGCATAGCACTTAAGTTCATGCATTCCGCTTCGGCAGCCTGAGTTCCCCAGTTCGGATCCTGGGCGCAGAGCTACTCTATGTGCCGCGTCCCACATAGAAGAGCTACAGCTCTACAACTATGACACACAACTACGTGCTGGGGCTTTGGGGAGAAAAAAGAAACTGGAAGATTGGCAACAGATGTCAGCGCAGGGCCAGTCTTCCTCAAAATAAATAAATAAACAAGTAAAATAAAAAGAGGAGAAGAAGATTAAAAATAGGAAAAAGGTAAGACATAAAAGCGAGAAGGGTCAATTAGAGGGATAACTTGAAGGTTATTTTTGGATCTAGAGTTAGCCGAGGCTTCCCAGGTACTAATTTCGGAGTAGAAGTGAAGGGGTCGAGCCTCTTCCTTGAGGCCAGTGGGAACCGGGCAGCAGTGCTGTGTGACGCCTGAAATAAGAGTGTCGCTCCTGGACTTTCATGACCCCATGACTCCCTACAGCTGACCCCTCTCTCTCTTCAAGGTCCCCCCGCCGGCTGAGTTTCACAGCACACGGGCTGTCAGAGCTAAGGTACCTTTGTAGGATTAGAAAGTGAACACGTAGACACAATTTTTAACTTTCCCAGTTATGAAAATGCTGCTTATTTGGGGGGAATCTGGAAAACACAAAGAAAAAGAATCACTAAGCACACTATTCAGACACATCCTCCCCAACAGTTGACTGGTTGCTGTAAATATACGTTATGCATATTCATGATGTGATGCTTTCCAGATACAGTTTGTAATACCAGTGTTTTCCACTTCTTTAGATACCTTTCAGAAATGTGACTGTCATGACTGTTTAGAATTTCAGTGTGTGGATTCACCTGTCTGTAAGCCTTACCTCTGTGATGGGCATTGCGGACTGCTCTAGGGTTTTCCACTATAACAGTGCAGTGATGCATGCACTTTGTGTACACTGTATTTTAGTGCTGTATTACACTGAACGCGTCTCTCCTTATCAGTATCTGGCGGAACAGCCTCCAGAGTCAGATCCTATGAAAGAGGCTGTGCTTTTCACTGTTTGCAGACTTCAGCCCTATCTCCTCCTCAGTCTACGTTTATACCATTCTTATTAAGCACCTGCCTTCTACAAGTCTGTGGTGGCCACCTGTGGTTTGCGCCACCCCCTTCCATTTCATCTTTCTTGCCAATGGCCACTTCTCCTTCCCCCCGGGGGGCCGCCCTTCTCTACCCCCAGCTCACGAGCTCCGGAGGAGTCTGACTGTTCTAGCTGGGGGGGGGATCCGTGCATCTCATCCTCCGAGCCCGAGGACTGACTCAGGAGGAGAACGTGCCCCATCAGAGACACAGGTGAGACTGAGGAGATGCTCGGCTCCTAGGATGGGACCGTCTGTTCTGCAGACTGAGGAAAATGCTTCCACCCTGAGGGCTGCTGGGAGCCGCGCTGGGACCACGTGGACTTTAGTTACTAACCATGTGTGGATACTGGTTATCGATTGTGACACATGCTCTCCCCTACTGAGGATGATAATAATGGGAGGGTGAGCGGGTACAGAGAACTCCCTACTTTCCACTCATTTTCCTGTAAACCTAAAGCTGATCTAAAAGACAAAGTCTATTAATTAAAAAGAAAGTGGATCTTTCTCTTCCTTGCCCTCTGTCTAGTTTACCTGAAGTCCACATCTTCTCAAAGACTCGGCTCAACCAACCATCCTCAGATGCCTTTTCCGACGGCCGGGGCAGGTGTGCCTCCCTCTGCCGAGTCCCAGCAGCTCCACCATCTATTCTCCCTCATGTGACACTTGGGCAAGGCTGTTTTCCTGTTAGTTATCACTTGTGGAGCAGACCCTCCGAGTATGGAGCGGAGCCCTGTGCACAGCAGGCACGTGGGGGGTGAGCGCAGACGGGCGCGCCCCAGGGGGAAGAACGCTTAGTTAACGCAACCAGATAACGCAGAAGTGGAGGGTGCAAAATCAGATTGGCAGGGCACAGCTCCACCTCTTCACAAATATGAAACCCTTCCCTTTCCCTATGTGGATGCAATGTGCACACTTCTTTAATTTAGCAAAAGCACACCATGAAGTACTTCTGAGTTTCTTCTTGAAGCAAATTATCTCAAAAATATTAACTATGTCCTTCAGAGCTCTTTTCACTTTTTATTTTTATTAGTTATAGCTCTAGAAACCTTCTAGGATATAACAACCCAACGCTAAATACAACAATCTCACAGATAGGGATGATTTAGGATAAGACCATTTCCAAGATAACTAAGATAAGAATCTAACGAGCTGGTTAAGGAACTAGTCCAAATGGGAGACCAGCTGCTATAATAAAGTGAAGAAATGTGTGTATATGTTTATCTATCTGTGTGTGTGCACATATAATATACACAGTTAATGCATATATACATTATACACATAATGTATATTATAATACATTGTATACATAATATATAATGTGTATATATAGAATTAGAAGGTAAAGTTCAAAATTATAAGTAATGTATATATAATAATGTACACTATATATAGTTTATTTTATGTATAATTTATATTATAATGTGTATATATTGTATATAATGTGTATGTATATATACAATTAGAAGGTAAATGAAAAGTTCAGAATTGGAGGTTTGATAGACAGTGGTGTAGTGACAAAACTAAAGTTGTGAAGTCCGACATTCCTAGAGTTTTGTACTAAACCTGAGCACAGCCAGGTGTCACCTGGAAGCTCATTATGATGCAGAGTCCTGGCCCCAATCATTTGAATTGTTCAGATTTAACAAGTTTGGTGTGGGGCTCAGAGATCTTGATTTTTGCTTTTAAGTAAATTTACCATTGATGTAATAAAAGGGAATCTCAAACTGTGAAATCATGTGAGCCAGCAGCCTCAGCATCTCCTGGGAGCTTGTCAGAAATGTAGAATCTCAGGTCCACCCCAGACCAACCAGATTAGAATCTGTGTTTTAAAACATTCCTGGGTGATTCCTATGTGCATTAGTGTTCTTGGTAACTCTGTTGTGCTGGTCTTTTAAGAAAACAATCTGAGGGTAAAAAGCCTGACTCATACCTTTTAACAAGAAAAGAAGAAAAACTGATGGTGAAAGAGAGGAAGGATGGATTGTGAATTAAGAAAACTATATTTACAAAGCAGATGCATAGTCATTATTCACGCTACAAAAGAATTCCTTGGGGCTGGCCCAGTGGCGCAAGTGGTTAAGTGCGCGCGCTCCGCTGCAGCGGCCCGGGGTTCGCCGGTTTGGATCCCGGGCGCGCACAGACGCACCGCTTGTCAAGCCATGCTGTGGAGGTGTCCCATATAAAGTAGAGGAAGATAGGGACGGATGTTAGCCCAGGGCCAGTCTTCCTCAGCAAAAAAAACAGGAGGATTGGCAGATGTTAGCTCAGGGCCGATCTTCCTCTCACACACACACACAAAGAATTTCCTTATTTTGCAAACTAGATGCTCCATGAGGTGAGATTTCTTTAAATCAAGGGATCTCTAATGCAGCAAACGTGATTTGTTTTACTCTCTAGTTTTCAGGACCGCATTTCTTTTGTGGAAAGG